TCACACACACACACACACACACACACACACACACACACACACACACACACACACGTGTGTGGTCGTACACATATACACAGAATGCACATCCTTCCTCTCGTAACTGTAACATTGGGCATCACGGCCGCCACTATAGACCTAGATTGAAGCTCCTGTCTTATGACACGGTGGAATCAGGAGCTCGTCAATTTTTTGAATTAGGAGTTAGCAGCATCATCTTTAAAAAAAAGCTTGTTTAATTTGTCTTGCGTTTGGTGGAAAAAATGCCCATGTATCTTGGATAAAAGTCGAGATATTTGTGTTTGAAGGTGATGGTCGCCTGGTGTTAGAAGTGAAAATTAACGAAAAAATGGTCGCCATAGTTTGAGTGTCCTTTATAACTTTAAATGTACTTTTCTGTGCCTTTCAACAACGCTTTTCAGAAAAATCCCCCAGGAATATGTTTGTAACTGTACATAAAATCTGTGTAGCCTTGAAGTTAAAAAAAAAAAAAATGAAGAAAAAACGGAAAAAAATGAACCCCCTCCCCTCAAACCGCCCTTTCCCCTAAAGAGCCCCCTCCCCTCAAACCGCCCTTCCCCCCAAAGTCCCCCGATAATAATGCCCGAGGGGTGGGAAAATGTCTACTTCTTCGAATTCATAAGTTTGACGACAAGCGCCTGATTTCATCGCGACGCCACACCTTTGTCTCACAATGCCCCTAGGTAGTGTTCTGTATGCACAACCAGAAGGAGACGTGTAGACGCATCTGCCACGCAAAGGTTACGCTCTCCGCATTGTACGCAAAGGATATCCATTCCATTTCTTTGTGAGGAAGGAACCACCAGGAGAGTGCAAAAGCTGCGGATATTTGTAAAAATGCGGGTTAAGTTAAAAAGTAATTTTAAAAAGTAGCCGGCAGACGTGCAGTAGAAATTACCTCATGCGACCACCCATTGTCTTCAAATTCTCAAAGGCCAGCCCACAGGGAATCAAAGTTAGCTTTTGAAAAACCAGAAAGAAACACACAAAAAAATACAAACAAAAGAAAACAAATTCAATGGTCTATAGTAATTATACTGTACAAACCTGTACTTTTTCATCAGTCACAAATTGACCTTACCTCCGTCAAGACGATAAAGATACATTGTATCCCCCTCACCCTCCCAGCCTCCTCCTTAACCGCGTCCTGTCTCCCACTCCTTGCACTCACACACACACACACACAAACACACACACATACACACACACACACACACACACAGACCAACAAATTAAATGCACGACAATCAGCTCACCACCAACAATGAGAGACAAGAAGAATGCAAGCCAGTGGTAGACATACAACTT